GCCAGAAGAATTGACATTGCACACCTCAGTGCAATCTTCAAGTAAAATGTGTGTGTGTAACACATTTGACAGTGCACAAGTACTGCACACTGATTCTAGGCTGGTTGCCAGAAAGTGTGAGTTTCGAATAGATGGATTGGTTGGAATACAAAGAGATGGCTAGAATTTTAAAAAGAAATAATTTCAGCAATGAACCACTTAGTCCTAAATACTTGCAGCCTAAATCAAGGGTTGGGAGGAAGTTTTCTCAATAAAAGCAGTGGTTGAAATTAGGAAGTTCTGGGTGGATTTTTCTCCAAAAGAGAATCTTTGCCTCAGACAATCTATTTGAAACACAAATGTAGGCGAATCACAGATGCTCTGATCCAAAGAGTAAGCGTGAATCCGTTCATAAATAATCATTTTGTTTCCCATTCGTACTATTCACATGAAAAACTCCAATGACCAGCCAAAAAACCTGTCACGGCAGGGAAGATGAACGTCTTTAAGGTTGGCAGATGTGTATTATGTCCCAAAATAGTAACACTTTAAGAAAAACTGAAATACTATTATAATTTTTCAACATTGAATATTGCTGCCTCATCTGGTCTGATGCTTCTGCTATCTATCTATATAGATTCTTGACAAAATCCAAACAAAAATCCGTAATATCATTGGTACTGACCTGGCATCTCACTTTCAGTCAATTTCCCACTGCTGTAATACAGGTTACTGGTTTGATTTTTTATAAATATTTTTAGGTAATTGTTCTGGTGAACTTTCCTCTATGATACCTAGCCATTACAAATTTAAGTTCAATACAAGATTAGCAGCTCAGGCTCATCAGGTTACCACTAAAATTGTTAAATGTAATCATAAACGCTATGCTAAAATTTTCTTCTCTCACATTTTTCACGTGTAGAACTCTCTTCAAGTTCCTTGCTTTCCTGCCAACTACAATCTTCAAAAATGTGCATGCAACATCAATTGCCACCTTCTGTTTTACTTTTATTGTTCTCAACATTTTCTTAGTTTCTTTCATGCTCTGCCTTGTGTCTTAGTGGCTTTGTCCCCATTCCTAGTGTAAAATGATTAAAAAAAAAAAAAAAAAAAAAAAAAAGATACTGCACATAATTTTTTTCTTCTTGCGGAAAAGTATTAAAATAAAATATCCAATTAATTATATTCAATTAACCTCAGTTAGAAACATCACTGATGATGTGTACCAAAGCATCCAATAGATATATTTTACGAAATATAATTCAGATTAGCTACACTCTAGTTCCACCAATTCAGACTTTACAGCTAGGATTTGTTATGGAACCTCTAGGGAGTCATAATTTCTTTGTATTTTAGTTGTAAAGAGGAACTTACACTCAAACAGCTTTTCCTCACCAAGAACTGCTACTTTGTGGAAGAAACTCCCATGTGGATATTTCCCTGAATAGTATAATCTTAACCTTTTCATGTGAAGGGTCGATTACTATCTAATCCTACTTATCATCATAATCCCTTCTTTTTACCTCCCCTTTTGTTTGTGTCACATACCTCATTCAGTAATCCTCTACCTTGAGTGGATCTTGAGCTTTGTATTAAGTGAACTTAATACAAGGCTGAAGATGCTGTGATCATACAAATCTCCATAAGATTATTCATTTTTGAGGCATCATTTTTTTCCATCTTATTGTTGGTTTTTCATTTCAATTGGCTTATGGTTCTCATGTTGAAACACAGGTTCTCATACGATCACAGAAGTTAAGTAACATCAAGTACTTAGATGGGTGACTGTTTGGGAATACCAAGTGCCATAAGCCTGAATGTGCAGTTAGCGTGATAGAATGGATAACGGCTCAGAATTGGAAATTGCTGAATCAAGTTCCAATTCCAGTCAGGTTTGTTATATTCCTCTACATACAAATATTCTTGGGAAAGGGTAGGAATACACCTATTCTCCCCCCAGCTATGGGTTAATGATTAAGACTTGTATCAGTAAATCAACTCCAAAAGTTCTTACAATACAAAAAAAAAATATTTTCCAGCTTTAAATAACCTGCAAAAAGGGTTGATCAGCAAAAAAAAAAAAAATCAATCAATCAATTTCATTTCAAATTCAATTTTCAACATTAACTTAGCAGTGATCATTAAAATTAAGGTAAACAGAAAGAAGTAGCATCTGACAAAGCTTGAATTTGTATTTTATCTTAAGGGTGCTCGTCTTTCATGGATGATGCTTTAACCAATCTGGAATTTTACCCTAGAAGCACAAATTCATAGCAATATTGCCACCACTCTACCTTTCATTTGTTTTATTTTTCATTAGCAATAATTTCAAATTACTTGAATTCCAAAAAGACATATGATATTGGCTATCCTCTCTTCCAGGAATGTCAAGTCAAAATAAAGAAATAGATTCCAATGAAATTTGAACTTGCATTCATCCTATAACCATGGTGATTAAATTTAATTTACACCGGCTTGCAGTTAGAGAAAATCAAATTTTGAACAGACCACACTGAATATTATCACAAAATTATTTCACAACAGAATTGTTCTTGTTCATTAAACTAAAAGAAAAAAGATAAATGAAATTCAAAGAAAAATCTCTTTGCAAACCAAAATGGTTCAAGACAAAAAACATAGGAGCTGTGGGTAATTCTGTTTATTTTTATTCATTTACTTCCCCGCCCTTCACGGTTTCAAACTTGTTTCTGGTAACTGGGTAAGCATGAAAGCAGTGAGAGTTCTTCATCAGCTGCCACTGTAAATTGACTTGAGAGGGGTAATCAAGCTGTTGTCTCTGGCAGATCAAAACAGGCATTATCTACATTACTGCTGCTAGCCATGTTGGATAGAAGACTGTCTCAGGTTGCTAGGAGGCCAACTTCTGATTGTCAGTAAATACAGAATGATTGATGAAAGGTCGAAAATTCTTCAGGTTGACACTTTTGAAAAATACGTTTTCTCTATGCCACAGAAATGCATTTATGAGATGCAGTTTTTTAACATCAAGAAGTATATGCCTAATGATTAGATGACAAAAGAATCAGAGATTGTATGACAATACAACACCCTCACTCTCTTTATATATATATATATATATATATATATATATATATATATATATATATATAAAAATACATACATACAAAGATAGGTATTTGGTTAGCAATTCCTCTCGAATAGACAATTCCTTAACAATGTTGAGTTTTTTTCTTGAATGTGAACAAGAGATTTCTTTTCTGGACTCAATTTGGGTAGAAAATGTCCAGATGTAATGTACACTTCCCAAAATAACTGAAGACCTTATCATAAAAATAAAAAATAAAGAATTGTATAATTCAACATGTTCTCTTTATATACATGTACACACAGAGAGACAGATATGTATTTGCGTAGCAATTCCTCTCTAATACATGTTTCCTTAACGTTTATTTTTTTCTTGTATGTGAACAAGAGGTTTCTTTTTTAGACTCTATAGAAAAAGTCCAAAAGTGAAATTACCTCAAAAAATAATAAGAATTATTTTTTTCTTTTTTTTTAATTTAAGTCCTTACCAAGGGCTTAACTTGAAACAAAAATTGCTTAAAGAATTCTTAACCTCAACTGTGAGCATGGCCATAATGTTCTGGCTGTAGTTGAGAATTAACAATATGTCTGCATTTCAGAAACTTATACACTGTCTTAAAAATGGCACAAGCAAAATTCTTGAAAATGGCTAATAGAGACAATTTCTACACACACTAAGTCAAAAAAATCTATTGTTTGCATAGAAGAAGGCAATAAAAATAGCAGAAATACCTTGTCATTTAGTTTTAATGAAACGTGTGTGTGTGTGTGTGTGTGTGTGTATATATATATATATATATATATATATATATAAGTAGCAAAAATCATTTAAGCAAGTTTAATTAAAACTGACCAACAGAGTTTGCTTGCTGAATATATTGTTAAATATTATATAAACTTAAGATAGACTTTAGTCAATTATAATGAAACTATGTGAGTGAATGAAATGAATGACAAAAATGGGAAAAACAGAACCAAAATGTGTCAATTTATTTTTTTCCATTTTGTCATTCAATTACACACTTGCAGTCTGATCCCAGAACTTTATCACTGTTTTTCAGGGAAAATATTCTGATGAGCAACAGCTACTTCACAAGAATTGCTGTCAGAAAACAGACTTCCAAGAGGATGCTTCCCTGATTACTACAATGTTAACCAATATATTTCGTACATACCCTCTTAAACTGCACTCCCTATATCCTCCTTTTATGTGACCCTCTGCCTTGCGTAGTGGCTCATGGGCCTTTTATTGGGTGAAAAATTAGTAAATAAACTAAATGCCATAGTGTGTGTGTGTGTTTGTGTACACACATATATATATATATATAAATAAAATGAAATGGGCTACATCTGGCAATTATTTTAATATATTTTCTGTTTATATTATTTTTATAGATACAAATATTTAAGTAACTGCTCTGTTTATAAACAGCATTTACTGGCCTGAATGTCTGAGAAATTTAAAAATTTAAAAATAGTAATTCAACTTTGCTAACCAGGCACTTCCTCTGTAGCTAAATTGTATAGCACGTCAGGTTATATGATGGTTCCATGTAAGATACAGGTTCAATTCCAGTCTGAGGACATATTTTCGATGAAATTTCTTGGACATTCATGCTGGTAATGTTGTTAATACTGTTTATTATAAACAGAGCATTTGCTTAAATTAAACAGTAAAAATTAAAATTTATATATATATATATATATATATATATATATATATATATATATATATATATATATATAAAACACACACTGATGAGATGTACACTTAATATAGGTAGGAGAAGAAAGAATGGTTTACATGTGTAGGTTTATTAGAGAAAGTGAAGTCTATAAAAGAAAACGCTGTCCTGAATGTTTCTGGGGTTGGAGAACAAATAAGAATTGTGTGCGTGTATGTGTGTTTGTGGGGGTGGGGGTCTTGCTGTGCTGTCAGCACAATGCAAGTGTATTCAGTGACAGCAAAATGTGACAGATGGCATTATAGACATTCCCCTGCATCCAACAGTGAGCAGGAAGGAAGAACAAAATGACTTATCAGCGACACCAACTGCACCAACCCCAGCAGAATCTAAATCGGATTCTAAGAGAAATGCCGGGAAGAAGAGAAAACTGGGTGGAAGGGGGGGGGTTGTGTTAGAGAAAGTGTCAAGAGAGAAATAGGAAAAGTTAAAGCTGTGGGAGTGAGAAAGTGAGGGAGGGATAAACACAAGCATACGAGAGTGGGAGGGACAAACAAATGTTGAGGGAGAGAGAGAGAGTGAAAGGCAGGAAGATACATGCAAGCATTTGAGAGAAAGAGAAAGAACAACTAGAGCAGAAAACACACACACACCACATTATTTAAGAGAGACACAAATGCACACATTATTCAAGAGAGACACACACGCAAAATTATTGGAGAGAGAAAGACTGAGGCACATCACACAGAGATGAGAGAGAGATAGACACAGACATTGGAGAAAAAGGCAGAAGACATGCTTTATTTTTATATATATATATATATATATATATATGATAGAGAGAGAGAGAGAGAGAGAGAGACAGGGCCACTTACTAGAGAAAAACATACACTATGGAGAAAGACAGAGACAATTACTATAGAGAGACAGAGAGAAACACTTAAAATATATAGACAGACACTTACTATAGATAGAGACATTTTATTTATATATATATATATATATATATATATATATATATAGAGAGAGAGAGAGAGAGAGACTATAGGACACTATAGAGACAAACAGAGACACTAGAGAGAGTGACAGGGACACTTACTATATATAGAGAGAGAAACAAACAGACAGCCACTAACTATAAAGAGATAGAGGGACAGAGACACTTACTATATAGAGAAAGACAAATACTTACTATAGAGAGAGCAAAACAAACACATTATGGAAGAAAAGAAACTGACACACCTACCAGAGAAAGAGAGACAGACACGCCCTTATAAGAGAGAGAGAGAGAGAGAGAGAGATAGAGTGAAGCATGCTCTTATTAGAAAGAGAAATACTCACATTTATTAGAGAGAGATAGAGAATGAAAAACAGACAAAATTATTAGAGATAAAAAGATACACTTTTTGAGAGCAAAAGCAAGAAACCGATACAAAAAGGTTGGTAAGCAATTGTGAGAAATAATAAAAATAGAGAGAAAAATTGACACTAAAATTAAACAAAAGAAAAGAATTTGTAGTAAGAATGCAAAGATCTTAAGGTGTGCTGATACCGATTCTAAGAGAGTATTGATCTCAATTTTGGTCAACAAATGCGTCAGGGCGGCAATTCTTTCCCTGGTAATCAGCCGTAGCAGCTATGATATAGCACACCAATGCCTGCCACCTCCGCCGCTACTGTTGCAATCACTATGGTTATTCCTTAAACTGACCGGGATACCAACTGAAAGCAATGATGACTGATAATAGAGTAATGACCTCTTCGACTAAACATCAAAACGAAAGCCATAATTACAATAGAAATGAAAACAGGATAAACACACAACTCCATAAGAAAAAGTGAAAGAAGAAAAGAAACTAAAAATATAAACTCATTATATCAACTCGTATCATTTGTCTTATTATGTGATTGATTTGTTTTTTACAGTTTATCAACCTTTTGCAGGTTATTTAAAGCCAGAAAATATTTTTAGATTGTAAGAATCTTTGGAAGAGAAGATAATAATGATTTACTGAAACAAGTCATACTAATTAACTGATGAAGTGGATTCATAACTTTCCCAAGGGTATTTGCATGTAAGTGAATATAAGAAACCTGATAAGAATTGGAACTCGGCTCTCCATTTTCCAATTCCAAAATGTTATCCATTACACCACCTGCACATCCAAGCTTACAGCACCTGGCATTCCCAAGTGTTTGCCCATCTAGATACTGACCAGGCTTGATGTTGCTCAATTTCAGTGATCATATGAGAACTAGTTTCAATGTGATATGGCTGTAAATTCTTGAGCATTACCAACTAAATCGAGAGTTTTGTTCTCTCATTCTAATGAGAATGCGAAAAAAAAAAAAAAGAAAAAGTCATCTAATTCAATACATTTTATCATTTATACACGCATATGTATGTATATGTGTGGGGGTGTTGATCAAACCTATAAACTCCCCATGGGGTACATCACTACAGCCAAGCTATGTGGGGTTACTGAGATTTCAGTAACAAGTAGGTTTTACAATGTCTAGTCACAAGCCGTACACCCAACCAATCTTGAATTCAAAGTAGTCCTACTTGACCATTTGTCAACAGCCTAGGAGAGAACCCAGTCTGCCGTGCTATTTAATCCATAGCTGGAGGGAAGGAAAGATGAATTCATACTTTAGATGAAAGTGGACACAATAGCCTTAGCCAGAATATAAACTCAGCTCACCAGTCCCACTTGCTTTATTAGTAATTGGCACACTACGCACACATGTAGATATAAAAATTATACTATCAACAAGTTATGATTGCCATAATTTTGGAATAATGTACTTCCATAGCATATCCAAATAAAACTTTGAATTGCAAAAGGACTTTAAAGGTGCTATATAGAGAGGTCGATAGAAAAAACAGTTTGATCAGTGGATAGATAGCTAAGTAGAAATGTTGATATAGATATATTAGAGCAGTGTTTTCTCAGCCTTTTTAAGCAAATAGCACACCAACGACCAAATGAAAATATCACGGCACACTGAGCAAATTTTTTAAAGAGTATACATTTAAATGTTATAAAATAAAAGCATGGATTTAAAAAAAAAAAAAAAATACACACAAATATGAACTTACTTTATTTCAATGTTTCTATTCAACTATTTGTGCAGCTTATTTAGTTTGAAAACCAGTGTCTTTTTTTTTTGCGATTTTTTCAATGTTTGGTCAAATGTGCACTAAGCAGAAATTTCTCATTTCTTCCTCAGTTGAGCATAGTCTTTCTTGCTTCTTATTTTTTATATTATTTAGGGTTGAGAAGCCTTATTCACTTAAATAAATAGAAAATTACAATAAAACTTATAAAGCCATTTTAGCTAATGTGACAATACTTATTCATTTATTCAAATACTAACACTGTACTCAACATTATATATATATATATATATATATATATATATATATATATATATATATATATATATATATATGTGTATATATATATATATATATATATATATATATATATATATATATATATATATATATATATATATATGTATGTATGTATGTATATATGTATGTAAGCTATGACAATATTACGCAGCACACGTAAGAGGATCGCAAGGCACTCTGGTTGCTTTGTTAACCAATTCCTTACAGTAGTTTTTCAGTATATCATTACCACCTAACTTAACACCCTCAGACAACCATCACTTTGGTCCAATGCAATATTTCTCAACATTTTTAAAGGCTATATATTTAAATGTTATGAAATAAGACACCATAGATTTTTTTTAAATACACAAATATGAACTTTTTATTTCAATGTTTCTATTCAACTATTTGTGCAGCAGTGTGAAACCTGTGCCTGGGGATTTTTTGTGATTTTTTTCAATGTTTGGTTGAATGTACGATAAGCAGACCATCATTTCTTCTTCAGTTGAGTGAAGTCTTTCTCACTTCTTATTTTTTATATTATTTAGGGTTGAGAAGCCTACTTCACATAAATAAGAAGTAGAAAGTTGCAATAAAACTTATAAAGCCTTTTTAACTAATGTGACATAATACTTATTCATTTATTCAAATACTAACCCTGTACTATTAGTATTTCCACACAGGTGCATATATATGTATGCTGTGACAATATTTCGCAGCACACTGAAGAGGATTGCACAGTATACTAGTGTGCTGCACCTGGCTGTTGAAAATTACCATATTAGAGGTTTGTTAACAAATCCCAGGTGACAAAAGTCAACACTATGTTCCCCTCCCAAATACCTTAACTCTTTAATTTTTGTTTTTTTTTTCTAAAGATTTTGACTACTCTGAATGTAAAACTGAAAAAGTCAATGTGAAACCATTCTACTATTTTTCCAGAAAAGTCATAACAATTCACAGATAATGAAGAAAAGAAACTTATAGAGAGTCAGGATTGTTGATATCCTAAAAGGATAGACACATCAAAGAAGACTGGTGATCATCAGCATTAAAGTATAGAAATAAGCCCACATAGATCAAAGAACAGACCAAGATAAGAGATATCGCAGATGAAGCAACAAAAATTGTAATGCACAAAACATATAGCAAGGAGAAAAGATAACAGGTGGAGCAAAAGGTTAGTTGATTACTGCCCAATGAATTGGAAATGCAGTAAGAAAATACAAGACAGATGGGAAGACAAGGTTGTTTACTCATAAGATATGACCTCTGTCACAGCCGTCAGGGAAGCATTTGGGAAAGCCTTTGTTCTACAGTGGATTTAAAATAGATGGTGAAAAATGATGATGATGAGATGATGAACAGGTTTTGAAAATAGTACATCATCATATTAGTGGTATTTTCCAATATATTATATAATTAAATTTTAACCTATTGATATCCACAGTCCTATTTTTAGCATGGTGCTTGTAGGTAGAAATTAATACTGGATTTTTATAAACCTATAATTAATACTGGATTTCTAGCTTTGTAATTAATACTGGATTTTCTGGTGGACATTAATTGATTAAGTTACTTTTTTACATCATAGCAATTATTTTTTTATAATAATGACGATGAAAAAAATCTAATGATTAAACAATGAAAATTTTTACATAGTTCTTTTTATCTAAACAAGAATAATTTGCCTAAACAGTCCACAGAGTAAGCATTGTATGGATACACTGCATCTAGGAAGTTTTAAGAAAATGAAAAGAATACTTAAAATCAGAAAAAGACAATTGGATTTTCTGGAACATGTAACAAGAAAAGAAGGACATTTTGAAGGCAAAAGGGACATAGAGAAACTGAATAACTTATCAAATGAGTTTGTACAAATGGATGGCAGAACATGAACTGAGAGGGATGGTGAAAGAACAAACATTGCTTAGAGCTACAAAGGATAAGGTGCTGTGTAGAGCCATGATTGTCCATGTTATAAAGGGACATGGCACATAAAAGAAGCTTCATCATCATCATCATCATCATCATTATTACATATTTTAGTTATTCTAAAAACAATTAATTTAGGAACATCTCTTCTTATAGTACCAGAAAAGAAAGAGAATATTTTCATTATTATTTGCACAGCAACTTGAGTTTTTCATACCAGTAATATCTCTGAGTAGCGTAATGTTTATCAACACTAAAAAGTGAAATTGGTAAGCAAAGATCAGATTCTAGCCTAGTCTGTTGTGTCCTCTTGAACAAATGCTGCTGGGAAAGGCCATATTTTCTTCTTCTCCCACCCACAGTGTTGAAGGAAAATTCTGGTTTCAAAACTGTGGAGAAGGCAATAGGAACCCCCCTTTTTTATGTCTCAAAAAGTTATAGCAGTTCAGACAAGGAAATTGTAGAGAGTCATGATTGCTGAAAGGATATGTCATAACAAAAAAACTCAACTATACTTATAATAAAAAGAAAAAGAAAAGAAAAAGATATATAAAATTTACATATCTGTATCTGGTGGCATAAATCTGATATCAGTAATCATTATACCGTCACTTTCAGACACTTCTAGAAATTGAAAACTGTCTTAGGTTTTCTGTTTATTTCACTTGATTTTTTTTTAAAATCCTCACAGTATTTCGTATTGTTGAAGTTATTGCTAACATTTTTATGAAGATATACAAACTACATTTCGTTCAATTTCACAAAGCAATCAATGAAATTTGAATAAGCTTATTTGTTTGGAAAAATACTTTGACAAAAACCCTACTTTGCAGTTTTTACACACCCTAGTAAAACTTTATACTTTGTACCCCTTTATCTGTTTGCACTTCTCCCCAAAATCTGGTTTTGATCATTCAATGTATGGCTATTTTAGAGGGTGTGACAAGCAGAAGGATGGATGGATAGACTAACAGAAG